CCTTCCTTCCTTCCTTCCTTCCTTCCTTCCTTCCGTCTCCCCTCCCTCCATTCTCTTCTGCCCTTCCTTCCCTCTCTTCCTCCCTTCCTTCTCTTTCTCCTTCCTCCTTTCCTCCTAGAATCATAGAATCAAAGAGTTGGAAGAGACCTCATGAGCCATCCAGTCCCACCCCATTCTGCCAAGAAGCAGGAATATTGCATTCTGGGGGATGTTTACCTGGAAAAAGAGGCAGTTGAGAGGGAAGATGAGAACCACGTTTCCAGATTTCAAAGGGTGCCCCCCCCCCATTGAGAAGGAGGGGGGAGGGATGGAGGGGGAAACTGACCTTCTTCTGCTCTAGAGACTGACCAGGGCCCAAGAAGTGAGCCATGGGTTCAAATGGTGGCAGGGAAAGATGAGGAAGAAATTCCTGGAGAGAGCGTGGCCTGGGCTGCCGGGGAGTGTGGTGGAGTCTCCTTCTCAGGAGGATTTTCTGTGAAGCCTGGCTGTCAGGAGTGCTTTGCTTGTGCCTTCTTGCGTGGCAGGGGGTTGGACTGGATGACCCTTGGGGGTCTCTTGCAGCGCTAGGATTCTGGGACTCTGTATCAGAAGTAGGCAATACAAGTCTCATGGAGACACTCTTTTTCTCCCGCCCACCATCTCATCCTGACCGAGGCCAACCCTTTTGGGATCCAAGCGTTTCCCATCTATTCTTCATATTCTCCGGCCAAAAAAGAGGAAGGGGAGGAAACGGCAGGGAGGGGGATTGGGGGGAACGTTCTACATACTGGAATAGGAAAAATGATGTCTAAAGTAAGGCAATTGAATCCAAACGCATGCCACCAACACAGAGGCAGGAAATGGTGCTCAAAGGCACTCTAGAGTAGACGTTGAACCCCATTTTGGGCTGAAACCAGGTCTCTCCGCCCTCTGGTTTCAGCAGTTTTGACCCTTGTAAATCCTCTTTTACAAAAAACAAAATGAAAATAAAAAGAGAGATTAAAAGCAACAATATAAAAAGGCAGGCACTGTAAATCATGCTTGAACTACACAGCAAACTAACTATAACATAATATACAAAACATGTGAAACAAACATACCAATGAAACAGAGAATACAAACCGAACACACAGACATGCCTTCGTTGCTAGAAGCCTCATTCCATCTGTTGATGTTTATCCCTTATTGCTCTTCTCCCTTTAGATAATGTTATATAATCACACTTCTACTTTTGATAACACTCTTCCAATTAATACGTCTTACAAGAGGCGTTTGTTCATTTTGGCTAATCTGCAGATCTTCGTAAGCCGTTCCTTTTGTGTTGGAATAAGGCATCCCTTCCACCTCTGTCAATTCTTACTGTAGTGTATCGTGATATCCATCCATGTTTTCTCTCTACGTGATCGTCCAGCATTCTCAACAAATCAATCCCTGGTTTCATTTCACCTTTATTACTTCTGGGATGAAATGTATTTTAGTTCAATCTTCCAACAATGCACCACATATGATAAAACACCCCCGCCTTTGTGCTTCCATTTTGAACATTTACAAGAGTTGCCTTTGTACACGTTAGAAAGATTCTGGTGTCAATTAACATCATTTGCTCCAGTGTGAATTCTACGATGTTTACGTAGATTGTGACCACGTGTAAAGCTCTTTCCACACTCTAGGCATTTATACCATTTTCCCCAGTGTGGGTCCCTTGATATTTATGTAGATGACGACTCTAAGTAAAGTTCTTTCCACACTCCAGTCATGTAAAGTGTTTCTCCCCAGTGTGAGTCCTCTGATGCGAACACAGACCTGAAATCTGAGTGAATCCTTTGATGCAAATGTAGATTTCCCCTCTCACTGAAGCTCTTTCCACACTCCAGGCATGTATATGGTTTCTCCCCAGTGAGTCTTTTGATGTAAACATAGACCTGAACTATGAGTGAAACTGTTCCCACACTCAAAATATTCATAGGATTTCTCCCCAGTTGTGTCCTATAATGTTTATGTAGATGAGAACTGAGTGAAATACTTTCTACTCTCCAGGAATGTATAGGGTTTCTCCCTAATGTAAGTCCTTTGATGTGAATGATGTGAATCTCTGAGTGAAGCTCTGCCTCTGTTCACATTCCAGACATTTATAGGGTTTCTCCCAAGTGTGAGTCCCTTTGATGGGAACGTAGACCTAACTATGAGTGAAGCTCTGACCACATTCCAGGCATGTAAAGGGTTTCTACCCAGTGTGCGTCCTTTGATGTTTATGTAGACCTGAACTATGAGTGAACTTCTGTCCACACTCAAGGCATTTATAGGGTTTCTCTCCAGTGTGAGTCCTTTGATGTGAACGTAGAGTTACATTCTGAGCGAAGCTCTGTCCACAAGTCAGGCATTTAAAGGGTTTCTCCCCCGTGTGAATCCTTAGATGTGTACGTAGACCTGAACTATGAGTGAAGCTCTGACCACACTCCAGGCATTTGTAGGTTTTCTCCCCTGTGTGTGTCTTCCAATGGGAACGCAGGCCTGAAATCTGAGCAAAGCTTTGTCCACATTCCTGGCATTTATAGGGTTTTTCTCCAGTGTGAGTCATTTGATGTGAATGTAGACGTGAATTCTGAGTAAAGCTCTGACCACATTCCAGGCATTTATAAGGTTTTTCCCCAGTGTGAATCCTTTGATGTGTACGTAGATTTGAACTCTTAATGAAGCTAAGTCCACATTCCAGGCATTTATGGGGTTTCTCACCAGTATGAATTCTTTGATGTGAACGTAGAGCTGAACTTTGAGCGAAGCTCTGTCCACACTGCAGGCATGTATAGGGTTTCTCCCCAGTGTGAGTCCTTTTATGTGAATGCAGACCTGAATTATGAGCAAAGCTCTGTCCACATTCCTGGCATTTATAGGGTTTCTCCCCAGTGTGAATCCTTTGATGTGAACGTAGAATTGAACTACGAGCGAAGCTCTTTCCACATTCCAGGCATGTATAGGGTTTCTCCCCAGTGTGAGTCCTTTGATGTTTACGTAGATTTGAACTGTGAATGAAACTCTTTCCACACTCCAGGCACGTATAGGATTTCTCCCCAGCGTGAGTCCTTTGATGTGAATGTAGGCTTGAAAGATAAGTGAAGTTCTGTCCACATTCTAGGCATGTATAGGGTTTCTCCCCAGTGTGTGTTCTTCGATGTCGATATAAACCTGAATTATGAGTGAACCTCTTCCCACACTCCAGGCATTCATAAGATTTCTCTCCAGAGTGAATCTTTTGATGTAAACCTAGATTTGTCCTACGATTGAAGCTCTTTCCACACTCCAGGCATTTATAGGGTTTCTCTCCAGTGTGAGTCATTTGATGCGAACGTAGATTTGTACTACGAGCAAAGCTCTGTCCACATTGCAGGCATGCATAGGGTTTCTCCCCAGTGTGAGACCTTCTATGCGATTGTAGACCTGAAAACTGAGTGAAACTTTGTCCACACTCCATGCATTTATAGGGTTTCTCCCCAGTGTGAGTCCTTTGGTGTGTATGTAGATTTGAATTATGAGCGAAGGTCTTTCCACACTCCACACATGTATAGGGTTTTTCTCCTGTGTGAGTCTTTTGATGTGAACATAGACCTGAACTCTGAGTAAAGCAACGTCCACATTCTAAGCATTTATAGGGTTTCTTCCCAGTGTGAGTCCTTTGATGTTTATATAGACTTGAACTACTAGTGTAGCTCTGTCCACACTCCAGGCATGTAAAGGGTTTCTCCCCAGTGTGTGACCTTTGATGCGAACATAGTCCTGAAATATGAGTGAAGCTCTGTCCACATTCCTTGCATTTATAGGGTTTCCCCCCAGTGTGAGTCTTTTGATGTGAACGTAGATCTGAACTATTGGTGAAGACTTTCCCACACTTCAAGCATTCATAGGGTTTATCCTCAGTGTGAGTCCTTTCATGTTGCTGCAGACGATCCCTCCTAGTGAAACTCCTTCCACCATCCAGGCATTTAGACGCTTTCTCCTCCATGTCAACAATGATATGGGTGTTTAATTGCAATACAGAGACTTGATTCTTCTTTATTCCTTTGTTATCTGTAAGTGAAGTCAAGAATTCAGCAAGATCATCGCCTCAAGAGGATTTCTTCTCTCTGTATTATTGGTTTCCTTTCTGCAGCCAAGAAGTCGCTCCAAAGGGTCCTCACTTCCCTGGAGAAGAAAGAAGCAAAAGGTCAAGGATGAAAGCCAGAGACTTTCTTTACCTCCAAGATTTCCCTCCTTTGCCTTCATGAGTCATGTTGAAAATGGAAATGCAGACATCAAGGTTCAAGCACATACATGGATACCAGCAAAGGGAATCAATCATTCCTTGAAAAGAGGGGAATTAATCCAGAAAGAAAGAAGGGATGGATGTATGGAGAAAGAAAAGAATGAATGATAGAAGGAAAAAAGGGGAAATCTTAATTTTATAGGGTTATGGTTACCTCCAAAATTTGCCCTCTTTCCCTTCATGGGTCATGTTGAAAATTGTGTAGTAAGAAATTCAATGTGCAAATTTGATAAATGTGAATTTAATATGATGTGTGGGAATGAATGGAAGGATGGATGAATGGAGTTAATAATTTTGCAAACACCAGTATAATATTAAGGCTGCAATGACCAACTACCTGCTTGCTGCTTTGTGATTAAAACCTGTTAATGAGATTTGAAGAGTAAACTCTGATAAGAATGGGACAGTGATAAAGGAAATGTTTGCAGCCTTCCTTATGTTAAGAAGGAAGTCAACACAAGCCTTGTGTTTGTTAACACCAATCAAGAAGATCAACATCTGGCCAGGAAACTGAAATGGATCCAGGATGGAAGACGTCTATCATTCATTTACCACTTTGGGACGACATCAACAGAATGTTTCTATAAAAGACTCAGCAAAATAATGCTCAAATTGTGGCAGACCTGAGGAGTCTGTTCCACCCGCCACGCTCTGCTCCATGGGAAGGAGAGAGGTGGTGTATTCGGAGAGTGTCAGATATGCTCTGGGAAAGCAGGATTATTCTGGACACTTTGGGGCTTCGTTCTCAAGGGAAGAGGAAGAACCACAACTTCCATAATGCCAAACCTTCAAAACGCTGAGATGCCAACACTTCTTTCCCTGAGAACAATGCCAAGGACCAGATCTCTGTTTTCCATAAAGCAGAACCTGACTCCCTGTAGAACTATGCATTGGCAGGCTGCAGGAAAGCAGGCTCTGGCCTAACAGTTGTTTCTCCAAGGAGGGAGAAAATGATATGGCAATATCTTGGATGCATGTGGATGAATGCGTGTACACATGTGTGAATGTTGAGTGAAAATGTAATTCCCCTTTGTTTGTTAGTTAACCAATGTAATTGTAAATCCAATGCAGTTGCATAGAATCTGTATGTCTAAATGTTTTCCTGTAATCTGATATACCTTCTCACACCGGAAATTGCAATAAAAAGAACCTATGCTTCAAAGTTATTGAAAAGTCATTCATGACGTGGAAATACCAAGAAATGCAGACACTGGGGTCTCAAGCACATAGATAGATACCACCAAAGGGTATAAATGCTTTTTTTAAAAGGGGAATGAATCCAGAAGGAGGAGGAAGAAAAAAGTGAACAATAGAAGGAAAAATGGGAAAATCAGAATTTTGGAGCATCACATTAAAAAAAGCCACACAGTCAAAAAGGAAAAGAGTCTCCTTATGTAATGAGTTTTAGTCCTACATTATTTGGTTGTTTAGATAACCTCAACTTTCAGCTCAGCCTTGATGGAGCCTCACCAATTCTGGTACAGACAGGCTGTTCTTTCTTAAGGTAACACTGTATTTGACTAGAAAAGCAGCTGTTGTTTACAACAGATGTTCTATGGTTGTTCTCTGGATTTCTCACTGGCACTTTTCATGCCACAGCTAATGAATTTCTTCACCTCCTCCAGAATGCCGTTTTCAGGTTTCCGGTTTAGGATGGTGTCTTCAGTCTTAGCAGACCTTGATACGTAGGCCCGAGCCAGACCCCAACCACACAGTTTCATTCAATCCAGAAGGAATTAAAAAAGAAAGGGGGGGGGGGACATTTGTGGAGAAATGGAATGTAGATAGAGAAGAGGTGCTGAGAGAAGGACAAAGAAAAGAATGAGGTGTAGATGGAAGGAGAGAGCTTGCACGAGCATATTTACAACCTGTACTATAAAAGGGTCGAGATGCATCTCAGCTGCATGGCACATTTCTTTACACACACAATGGGGTTTTTTGGCCAGAGTAAATGTATGGTCCCCTCCCAGTCACTAAGGTCACCGCACAGTTCTAGACAAACAGAATGAATTAGAAAAATGGGGAAAAGCTACAATACTTTAAATTACAAACATGGCAATTAACAGTCCCCACATTCCCACAGTTGCAACAGAGAATAATTTATGACAAGTCCCCAGGGCCAGATCAACTACACCCCAGAGTATTGAAGGAACTAGCGGAAGTCATTTCGGAACCAT